CTTAATCCATGTCCCTGCAAAGAACATGAACTCATCCTTTTTTTTATAGCTGTGTAGTATTCCATGGTGTATATGTGCCACATTTTCTTTATCCAGTCTATCACTGATGGGGATTTGGGTTGGGTCCAAGTCTTTGCTGTTGTGAACAGTGCTGCAGTAAACATACATGTACATGTATCTTTATAGTAGAATGATTTATAATCCTTTAGGTAAATACCTAGTAATGGGATTGCTGGGTCAAATGGTCTTTCTGGATCTAGATCCTTAAGAATCACCACTCTGTCCTTCACAATGGTTGAACTAATTTACACTCCTACCAACAGTGTAAAAGCATTCCTATTTTTTCACATCCCAAGAGAGCAGTGTTTCTAATGAGAGCAACTTATTTCTTTTGAGGAAATGTTCATGGCAAGAAATAATAATGGTAACAGCAGTAACAACAATAATAGTTAATACTTATGGCATTCATGATATTCCAGGCATCATCTGAACACTTTACATATGTTAGCTTGTTTAGTAAGGCATTTGTAGCTGTCAAAAACAGAGTATTGTGCTGTACTTTAATAACTACTCTTCCATGAAGGGATTCCATTTCTTTAGCATGATTCCAGTGCCTTCCTGCTCTGATTTTGAATGCCAACCCTTTTCAATATTTATTTACCCAATGTATTAGTTTTCTATGCAGCATAAAACGTTACCACAAATTTAGTGACTTGAAAAAACACCTCTTTATTATGTCACAGCTTCTGAGGGCTGGTAGTCCAGGCAAAGCTTATTGGGGTTTTGTGTTACGGGCTCACCAGGCATTAATACAGGAGTTGGCTGGGGCTGTGGTCTCATCCAAAGTTTGATTGGGGAAAGAACCAAATGTGCTTACGTGCTCCATTTAAGACTGTGGGAAGAATGCATCTTTTCTTGTTGTCTGTTGCCTGGAGGCAGTTTCTTGTGCTACAGCCCTTTTATAACATGGAAGCTTACTTCTTCAAAGCCAGCAAAGGAAACTCTTTCTCCTGTCTGATAAGATAAAATCTTATAAGATGATCATGGGCATAATAGGCTAAGACTTATAATGTAACCTAATAAAAGGAATGACATCCTGTCACCTGTGGCATATTTTATGGATCAGAAACAAGTCACAGATTCCACCCAAATACAAGGAGAGAGAATTTTGCAGGGGTGTGACTCACTGGAGGTCACCTTGGTTTGTGTTGCCCACTATTGAGTGCACACTATATGCTCAAAAACTATTGATTAGCCATGCCCACTATATGCTGGCATAGCTTTAGCTGCTTGCTTGAAATATACACCAAGGAACATCATTTGCCTTTTAAACTTTTCCTTCTAGTCCAGGGGGAGCATTATCTGCTCTCCAGATGTGCTGTGCCCACCTGCATTGCTGAGTCTTTGCTTCCAGCTGTTCTCCCAGCTTGGGGTGCCCCTCTATGTCCTCTCTCTCAGTTATAATCTTTGTCAGACTAAAAGGTTCAGCTCAAATACTGTGGCTTTCCTGAAACCTTTCCTAATCCCTTCATTATTGTGGATGGCATAGGAACACTTGGTCGGACCTCTCCTGTAACAAGCATTTAATTCTGAGTTGTATTGTAGTTACTTATGTAAATATCTATTTACTTCAACAAAGGGATCATGTTCTACCTGTTGTTGTAAATTTTTTTTGGATTAATTTTCACATGGGAAGTACTAAAGAAATGTTAGTTGAATGAACTTCCCTACTTCCTACTTTTAAATTTTTTCCTTTTTCCAGGAATAACAATAATCAACAATCCATCTTTAGCATAGGTTTGAGTTTCTATCTGTAAAATGGGGACAGAAAAGTTGCCTCTGGCTCTTTCCTTTTCTTTTCCCTTTTGTCCCAGTGAACTACAACAAGGGCCCCTTTAGGACCCACCCAGGACCTGTTAGCCTAGCTTGAAAAGATCCATAGGTGAAGGCTAGGGAACCTCCCAATTTGACATTGTTCTGGGTCTTAGTGAGGTTTTATGCCCCACTTGCCCTGCATTTCCTTCCTCCCATTTTGATGCCTAAAGCAGAACTTACTGCTGAACAATCACTCCTGGTCCTGCTGAAAAAGCATCAAGACTGGGTGGCAGACCTGCTTTCTAGCCATTGACATGGGTTTCTGGTGGGGTCTGTCATCCCAGCAGCAGTTTAGGTGCTTTTGCTCAATGTGAGGTTGCATTTTATTTGCCCTAATTACTGGCTGGATGTTAGAAATGATTTGGCATTCAATTCTTTAGCTCTGTGTAAGGCAATAAACCGCTTCATCATACAACCCATTTAAACTATTACCTTTCATTTTTGGGGGAGCTGTTAGTACGACATTGATAAAATATAGTCCAAATGGGTGTTTTCTGATGCAATGTTACATTTCTGTCTCCTTACCCTGGGGCTTATTACCTCCCAGAGCCAGATTTAAAAAAAAATTAAAAAGCAGAGGAAAGGGAAATTCAGGTAAAGCAGCAAGAAAGATTCCTGACATTGGACTCTGCAAAGGCAAAGGGTCTAGCATTGATTTCTTACATTTAATATGATACTAAAGTGAACCAGATATTGCAAAGCTGGAAAAGGAAATAATCTGCCTTAGCAGAATGGTCCTTTATGGATAAAGTGGATGCAATATAGTTACTGTCTACTGCAGGCAGGATTACTGGCTGTCCTTGCAGATGCTTTGTCTCTCTGCCTTCCCCAGGTCATCCATGTCCCTTTCTGAATCTCCCACAAATGAAAGAAACACATATCAAAACAGTTGTTCCTGTTAGGCAACATCAGGCAGACTTGGAATTTGCAATTCATCCAGTGAATAATGCTTTATTGAGGTGGCTCCACAGATATGGGCCACACTCCCAAGAGAGCCAAAGATAGAACTAGTCCTAAACTGAGCTTGACCCTTTGGCCATACAAGAGGGTGTCTAGGGATGGCAGAGGCTGATGGGTCATTTGGAAAGCTCTTGGCATAAGTGGGACTGTGAACAAGTTCCAAACTGGGTCTGTGGTAAACCATTTGTTCAGTATTAAGAGAAAGATAATGGAAGATGAAAGGAACAGGTAATCTGTGAAGTTAAGGACTGTTCAGTGTCAGGGAACAGATGAGGATGGAGATTTCCTCTAGATGTCTTATTTTCATGTCCCTGCGTCACATTAAAAAAAATTTTTTTTGAGGCAGGGTCTTGCTCAGTCTCAAAAAAACTAAGTATCCATAGTCCTCATTTAAAGAATTGCCCAAGATCTCCCTGTGTATATATTTTTATTAGAATGCCCAGTTAAATAGGGAGAGTCTTAGTATTTGAATAGATTGAGACAAAGAGTTGCTTTCTGACACTTGTGTGTGTCCGTCTCATCACTGCTCAGGCTGGAGTGCAGTGGCATGATCATGACTCACTGCAGCCCTGGCCTCCTGGGTTCAAGTGATCTTCTCGCCTCAGCATCCTGAGTAGCTGAGACTACAGTCATGTGCCACACATCTGGCTAATTTTTATTTTAATTTTTGTAGAGATGGGGTCTCACTATGTTGTACAGGCTGGTCTTGAACTGCTGGGATCAAGCAATCCTCTCTCCTCAGCCTCCCAAATTGTTGGGATTACAGGTTCAAGCCACTGCCCTCAGCCATGACACAATTTTTTTTTTAATTGTACTTTAGGTTCTGGGGTACATGTGCAGATCATGCAGGATTGTTGCAGAGGCACATACATGGCAAGGTGGTTTGCTGCCTCCATCCCCCTGTCACCTATATCTGACATTTCTCCCCATGCTATCCCTTCCCAACCTTCCCACCAAACTCTGTCTCTCCCCTAGCCCCCCTTCAACAGACCCCAGTGTGTGATGCTCCCCTCCTTGTATCCATGTGTTCTCATTGTTCAACACCCACCTATGAGTGAGAACATGTGGTGTTTGATTTTCTGTTCTTGTGTTAGTTTGTTGAGAATGATGGTTTCCAGATTCATCCATGTCCCTACAAAGGACACGAACTTATCATTTTTTATGGCTGATAGTATTCCATGGTGTATATGTGCCACATTTTCCTTGTTCAGTCTATCATCGATGGGCATTTGGGTTGGTTCCAGGTCTTTGCTATTGTAAACAGTGCTGCAATGAACATACATGTGCATGTGTTCTTATAATAGAACAATTTATAATTGTTGGGATATATATATCCAGTAATGGGATTGCTGGGTCAAATGGAATTTCTATTTCTAGGTCCTTGAGGAATTGCCACACTGTCTTCCACAATGGTTGAACTAATTTACACTCCCGCCAGCAGTGTAAAAGTGTTCCTATTTTTCCACATCCTATTCAGCATCTGTTGTCTCCAGATTTTTTAATGATCACCATTCTAACTGGCGTGAGATGGTATCTCAATGTGGTTTTGATTTGCATTTCTCTAATGAACAGTGATGATGAGCACTTTTTCATAGGTTTATTGGCCTCATATATGTCTTCTTTGGAAAAGTATCTGTTCATATCCTTTGCCCACTTTTGAATGGGTTTGTTTGTTTTTTTTCTTGTAAATCTGTTTTAGTTCTTTGTAGATTCTGGATATTAGCTCTCTGTCAGATGGGGAGATTGCAAAAACTTTTTCCCATTCTCTTGGTTGCCAGTTCATGCTAATGATTGTTTCTTTTACTGTGTAGAAGCTCTGGAGTTTCATTGGGTCCCATTTGTCTATTTTGGCTTTTGTTGCCAATGCTTTCGGTGTTTTAGTCATGAAGTCCTTGCCTATGCCTATGTCCTGAATGGTTTTGCCTAGGTTTTCTTCTAGGGTTTTTATGGTATTAGGTCTTATGTTTAAGTCTTTAATCCATCTGGAGTTAATTTTGGTGTAAGGTGTCAGGAAGGGGTCCAGTTTCTGCTTTCTGCACATGGCTAGCCAGTTTTCCCAACACCATTTATTAAACAGGGACTCCTTTTTCCATTGCTTGTTTTTGTGAGGTTTGTCAAAGATCAGATGGTTGTAGGTGTGTGGCGTTGCCTCCGAGGCCTCTGTTAAAAATATGGAATGCTTCACGAATTTGCTTGTTATCCTTGTACAGGGGCCATGCTGATCTTCTCTGTATCCTTCCAATTCTAGTATATGTGCTGCCTAAGAGAGCACCATGACACAATTTTTTAAAGCTCCTAGGACTGATCCAGGAATAACAGTGACATAGGTTTAGTGGGGGAGGACAGAATAGCCTTAACTTCAAGGAATCATCATGAGTTTCCATAGTTCTCATTTAAGGAATTGCTCAAGATCTCTCTGTGTGTATGATTTTATTAGAATGCCCAGTTATATAGGGAAGTCTTAGTATTTGAATAGACTGAGACAAAGAGTTGCTTTCTGACACTTGTGTGTGTCGGTCTCATACTCTCCCATCAACCTCCAAACATTTATAGAACATTCACTACACATAGGGGTGAGGTAGGCCTCCTTTCCTAGAATGATCACTACCTCCTCCATCTTTTCTGACCCTGGATACAAGTTCATTCCATCTCCATCTCTGAAGTATAGGCTATGGTAACTTGCAAATGACTAGAATGTCTCAGCACCCCTGAGTTATGGTTCACAATGGGGATATTAATAGTTGTGGAGATTAAATGAAGTAATAGATATTAAGCCCTTAGTTATTTTTATTAAAGTTATTATTTTTATTATTATTGGTAACGGGCCAACTCCCTACTTTGATCTGACCTTAATCATGTATCTTTTACACCTTCTCTCTTGCCTTCCTGTAGAGCGAGGCTCACTTTTTTTCCAGTGTAATCATGAATGATATAATATTTTTTCTGTTTAATTATTTCTTTAATATTTTTCAAAATAGAAATAACTTTTTGTTGCACTATTTGGAAAAATAAAATGACTTGTCCCAAAAGTTTGAGATTGCGTATATATTTATGTCCTAATTGTGAGAATAGAATATAATCCTGAAAATAAGTAAGTCTGGTAGTCCTAGAGAGTGGTTCTCTGGGGGTGATTGCCCCCGCATACCCCACCTCCCAGGGGGCACTTGGCAATGTCTGGGCCATTTTTTTGATTGTCATAAACGGGGGAGGGTGCTACTGGCATCTAGCAAGTAGAGTCTATGGATGCTGCTAAACATTCTACAGTGCACGGGACAGCCCCGGTTCATTTTTAAACACAAGGACTGCCTTAATGACTGCTGCCATAACAAATTACCACACATTTAGTGGCTTAGAACAAAACAGATTTATTATCTTGTACTTCTATCGGTCCGAAGTCTGACATGGGACTCACGGGGCTAAAATCAAAGTGTCAGCAGGGCTCCCTTTCTTTGGAGGCTCTCGGGGAGGATTCATTCCCTTGCCATTTCCAACTTCTAGAGACTGCCTGTATTCCCGCCTTGGGACCCCGCCCCCATATTCAAAGCCAGCAATCAGGAGTTCAGCCTCTTTCATGCTTCAAATCTCTCCTGTCTCTTCCATCATCACATTTCTCTGAACAACAGTTATGCCTCCTTCTTCCACATCTGTGGGCCCCTATGATTACATTGGGCCGACTCAGGTAATCCACAATAACTTGCCTATTTTAAGGATTATCCACCTTAGTTATATTTGCAAACCTAAATTTCTTTTGCCATGTGATGTGACATTCACAGATTCCAGGGATCAGGACACCGACATCTTTGTGGGGCTACTATTCTGCCTAAACAGCCCACAATAAAAAAAAATCATTCAGCCCCAAATGCCAAGAGTGCTGCGGTTGAGAAAACCTGTCTTAGAGTAAAGCTTCCTAGTCTTAGAAGCTGGGTCCTTCACTCAATGTGGATAAAAGAAAAAGATAAGCTACCTTTAAACTAACTCATTTGAAGTGTGAACATCACAGCACATTTAATAATTTGGACAATTTGCATTAAAAGCCACTGCTGGCCAAGATATGATAACTTAGTCTATGCAGTGAGGAAGTGAAAAATCTCCTATTAAATAAATGAAGCAGCAGCTTCTGGTAACAAACATATAACAAACAAACATATGAAACAGAATATTCATCTTTTCTTCAATGGGAATAACACATGACAAAAGTGAGGCTTTCTTCACATTGTTTGTTTATAGAATATTCATCTCCACCGAGGCCTTATGTTAAATTTGCTCTCTGATGTTAGCATTTCCAGGATGCACAGGGCCACTGGAGTATGTTCTTATGATCTTACTATTTATTTACCTTGATACAAAACTCCAATTACTGTCAGAGATGCTTCTTGTTAAATATGGTAAGATCTCCAGCTTCTGAGAGTGTGAATATGTATTTGATTCTCTGGGGCAAGGCTCAGATGGAAGTTAAGGAATAAGAGTTCTGGGGACGTGGGTGCAAATTAATTAAATATCTAAAGGTAACTGTGGAGGAAGCTTGGGCTTTAGAGAAAAGGCTGAAACTTAGGGAGAGAAGATTGTATATCAAGCGATTGTAAGGTTGTTGTATATCAACAGACTGTAAGGTTGGTTTTTTTTCCACTGATGCCTCTTTTCCTGGTCTTGCATGGTGTGTGTGTGTGTGTGCGCGCACGTGTGCATGCATGTATGTAGCGCATGCATGTGCTGTGTGTGTGTGCATGCTCATACACACATGCTTGCTCATTTACTCTAAATATTACTGTGCTTTTGTGTTGCTTTCTTGTGTATTTCAATGCCTAAAGCAACTATTGGATTATTCAAAATCAAGAATCAGAATATAACATATAACTTCCAAAGACATCAGGGGAGACTGTTCTCCAGATAAAATTTTGGAATTCTGATATATCCAAACTGTCATATTTAGTTACTGGCTTTCTTTGGGCAATTCAACTCTATTTTATTCATGGGCTATTCTAAAAATATAATCAAAGGACACCTACTGGCTACAAGCAACTTTGCTCATGTTTAATAGGGCTGTGAAGAATGGTTTGAATTTAGTGCAGATGCAGGAAAATATGTGCTGTCATCAAGAGCCTATCACACTTTCAACTTATAAAATATCTTGACTGGAGTCTGGCCAGAGTGAGTATGAGGTGGAAGCTCTAGTGAGGATGAATGTATTGGGTCAGATAAAGTAAGGACCGAAGCCAGTCTTAAGTAGACTATAAAGTGAACAGAATGGGATACTATTATTTTTGCCTCGATAAGTAGAAAAAGTGTTACTATGCTTGTCTTTTCTTCCATTTTTGACTTGCATTTAGTCTCCATTTTAGGGTTATATATATATTTTATTTCTGGCAGCCACAGAGACCTGCTTTGGGGAAGCATTGGAGTTCTATCGTTCTGAATGTGAAAAAGAAATGATGCATCATTGTTGTTGCCATGCTGGGGAATTTTCTGGGGAAACATTTCCATTCCTTCATAGAAATCTGTTCTGTGCTTAGGCCTAGGAGAATGATCATTTCTGAGGTATAAAGCACATGCCTGCAGCAGCTCAGTTATACTTTATAACCCCAGAGCATATAAACAATTTGATTTGGAAAGCCAGTTAAATTCTTCCTTTGCATTCCATCTTATCGGCGGCGTAAGTTATTTTGCCATCCTCCTCTGGTATGGAGAGGATAAAAGCAATGCATTTTTAGTTATAGGGGTAACATGTTTTCAGCCTTATCTGAAGAAGTGACCTTTTGCGTGATTGTTATTAGCACATAGGGGTTGTAATATGTCAAACCCCCAAAGATATACCAAGACGCAAATGCAGAGTGATAGGAAAGACTTCAAAAACCAGCAGAACCAAGGTGTGGTGTAAGGTGGTAGTTTCAAATCTAAGGGTGCATCAGACTTTCCTGGCATGCTTGTTTTAAAGCTCAATTGTGGGACCTCATCCCCAGAGTTTCTGATCTAGTAGATCTAAGGAGCGGCCCTAAAATTTGCATTTCTAACAAGTTCTCAGGAATGCTGCTGCTGGCCCAGGACTGCACTTTGAGAATCAGTGGCATAGTGGGTGACATAAGCTTAATGATTTTGAGTCTGGCTTCCACCATGTCTAGCTGCTCAACCTTTGGCAAGTTCCTTAATCCCTTGTTGATCAATTCCTTGGACCAATATTACCTGGGACTTTGAAGTCTTGGGTCAGTGTTCCAGTCATACCTACTGAATCAAAATTTGCATTTTTTTTTTTTTTTTGAGATGGAGTCTCGCTCTGTTGCTGAGGCCGGAGTGCAGTGGCATGATCTCCGCTCACTGCAAGCTCTGTCTCCCAGGTTCAAGAGATTCTCATGCCTCAGCCTCCTGAATAGTTGAGATTACAGGTGTGTGCCACCACAACTAGGTAATTTTTGTATTTTCAGTAGAGATGGAGTTTCACCATGTTGGCCAGGCTGGTCTGAACTCCCGACCTCAAGCAATCTGCCACCCTCAGCCTCCGAAAGTGCTGGGATTCCAGGTGTGAGCCACTATGCTGGGCTTCAAAATTTGCATTTTATCAAGATCCTCGGATCACTTACTTACACATTAAATTTGATAAGCATAACTTAGTTTCATTTCTTATTCTTACTTTCTGTAAAATGGGAATAGTACTTTTTTCTTCCCAGGGTGTTAGCAAGTGAAATGCATGTCAAGGTCTTAGCAGTAGTGCCTGGCACAAAATGTGCCCTCAGTGAATTTACCACTTAAAATTATTAAACTGATTTGGGATGAAAGAGCTGGCAAGTTCTCTCCTTATAGTAACTTGTTTTTGTGTGTTTCTATTTTATTTTCACTTTTGTCCTTCCCTTTTTGCACTTAAGCTCATCTTTTATGGGTTTCTAGTTTCTAGCCTGCAAATGTTGAGTGACTTTTGTGGGTTTGAAGGCAACAGGTTTCCTATATTATCCACTTCATCATATAGGCCTTCTACTAAAGCACCTTCAATTATCTTGAGGCAGTGCGGGGAAATTCTGAAAGCAAAATTGGTAATAAATTGAAATATGTGTCTTAGTCTGTTGTGCTGCTATAAAGGAATGCCCGAGGCTGGGCAATTTTTAAAGTAAAAAGGTTGATTTGACTCACAATTCTTCTGGCTGGAAGGTTTAAGATTGGGCATCTGGTGAGGGCATCAGGCTGCTTCTACTCCTGGAGGAAGACGAAGGGGAGACTGAGTGTGCAGAAACCACCGGGAGAGCGGAAGCAGGCAGGGGCCAGTGGCAGGCTCTCTCAACAACCAGT